GCGAGTGAATTAGACACGCCGCCTAAGGAAGCCAAATTCACCTATTACCAGAAGGCTACTTTTGCCAGCGCAATGCTGGCAACGTTGGCGAATTATATGGGCTTCTCTATCATATCTGTCTTCTACCCAATCAATGTAAGAATCAAGGTTTTGTCCCGAGTCTAAATACTTTCAGTTTCCATAAAACAGGCCTAAAATTCCGTCGTGGTGTTTGATTTTTACGTCTCCAATGAAAAAAAAATCCTTTTTTTTAAATTTTGAGTATGATTTTCAGAAACTACCGGTACTATTAGGAACCATACGTTTGTCTCAGAAGCCTGCAAATTTTTAATTTGATTACATTTGTCTTGTCAATTAATGTGAAATTCTGTGTATCTCTACATCGATCGAGGACCGTATTGTCAGGCTGTACAGTCTCCTTTCATGTTGAGCCCACATGCTGGCCAGACCAACAGGAGCAATACATCCCTCCATACTCCTGTGACCTTCATGCCGATTTTTTTAACCACTACCAATCACTCACATACTGCTGGCCCATTGCCCGAGGCAATGGCCTCAGTTGCTGCTCAGTTGCTGAGGCCATTTTTGTTCATTACTCAAGTACAAAATAAATACAGCCAAATGCCATCACCTCCCATCTAATCCTACCTCTTTTCATACTGAACAACCAGGTTTGGTCACCTTTTTAAAAAGACTGTACTATTTTGGCAGAAGTATAACTTTCCAGCAGAGTTTTGGAGAAGTAGGCCCACGCACTGTACCACATGCAAAGCAAATTCACCGCATATATTGAATTTAACAAAATAGATCGAAGAATACTGTCGAACTGATTCCCATTTACCCTAACAGTCCTCAGTTTAAAGGGATAGTAACGTCAAATGTGTACAAAACAGCAAGCGGCTATACCGTACAAGATTCGGCCTTCCTTGAACCGTTATTGTGCCATATTTGCGTAAACCTTTGACGATTCCGTGATGCGAGACCGACATGCCTGAAGGCACACTAAGATATTTAATAATGATCACGCCAAAATTCGGAGAGTTCACCAATGATTGAAAACCGCCTTATCTGCTGTGAGTGCTGTCAATGCATTTTTCTTTCTTAGCATTAATTATAAGGAAAATTTTGTTCCAAAGGACTTTATTACAATTCAGTCATCGAGTATCAGGTCATTGAACTTTGCGATTTGTTTTGTTTAATTTGTTCTTTTTTCTGAAGGCCAACTATAATTGTGCACCCAACACAGTATGGGAAAACTGCGGCAGCTGAAAAAGACTCTACCGCAACACAGTGCCACGCTTCCCTATGCGTGAATACTGATTGGCTATCAAATATGTGTCTGTTTGCCCTGTTTGCCGTATCATCCCCCTGGCCAATTTGCAGACAAACCTGCAGGTTACGTACGAAAGTTCAATAGTCACCTGGAACACTTTTCCTAGGTCATAAGTGACTTTGTTTCCTTTTAATCGAAATGATATGGCATTTTAGAGTGTGTCGTTCTACGCCGTGCTTGGGGGATTAATTGGAATATTTCTGGCAAAAAACTCTCTACATATTTGTAATCTTGATTACTTTTCTTTTAACTACAGGCAAAAGGAAGAGGGATTTCGGAAGCCGCTATTGGTCTCGTGTTTAGCGCATTCTCCCTCTCAGCGGGTATTGGATCACCTATATGGGGCAAAATTGTAAGTTTTATTTCACTCTCGAATAAGGTGTCTGCTAGACAAGCGATGAATTTTGTAAATTTTGTTAAATTCTGTTTTGGATCCAACGGAAGTGTATGTAGGACATGACTGAAGAAACATTCTGCTTTCTATTTCGCCTGGGGGGATTACTTTTTCGCCCAGGCGGATTTCTCATTTCGCCCGGAACTGATTGGTATCCCAGGAGACTGGGAGTATATAATCGCTCACTTTTTGCATGTGATGGATCATCCCCCACGTTTTCGTATAAAGAAAAAAAAATTGAGTAGTTTTTTCATTCAAAATCAATTCAATTGCAAAGTTTCTCATAAAGTGCGGCCAGAGTTTGCTTTTTTTGGGGGGGCACAAACTGTGATTGGGAGAGAAAGGGCAAAATGATTTTTTTTCTACAAATTGCAGTCCATTTTTCTTTGGTCTGTCCCCCGCCCCGAAAATAAGGCCGGGCGGTTTCCGCCCACTCCACATTTTTCTCTCTAGCCTCAAGTTGCATTTTTCACGCTTTCTGTCTTCCAGACTTTTTTTATTAACTCTTTGCAGTCATTATCATCTATTTTTTGAGAATTGGACCTGCTGTTCTCGCGTAGTGTTCATTTTCCCGACACGACACGCTGGCAAGCGCGTGGCCCCAAACTTCAAATGGCCGTAGCAACATCTTCAGTTGAACTGAGAATGTACTGATCTATTGATTATTTGTATTGAGGGTGATTGTCTTCACTTGCATGCTGAGTTTCATTACACTCGCGTATGGGATGGCCGAGTTCGGGGGGGGCAGAATCCGCCCCTTGGCTGTAAGTGGTCCCCTATACTTCTGACTTTTTAGGGTTAGGAGTTAAGTAATGTTCGCATGGAGTCCTTTTAAAAATTATAAGGAAAAAGAATAGCTTTAAACATCGTTACAAAATGGTTGGGGGGTTGAATCTGTTCCCGTGTCCCTTCCTCACTTGGACACTGAATACGCCACTGCACGTTATCTTAGAGGGAAAAGGGGGTTTCCAGGGGGGTACATAGAACTAAACGACGAACCAATCATGAACGTCAGGGGGATGCAGTTGCTCCCACCACTGTAAACTATCGAGGAAAACGGCTAAAAAGGGGGAAAGGGACAAGAACAAAGGAGAAAACAGGAAAAAATAGCTTTGAATTTTAAAGCTAGGTATAGTGCTTTTTATTCTCTTTAATCTATTTTTGTGATATCTTTCGTATTCTGTTATATTTTAATATTATTCTTGGGGGAAGGCAAGTGTCCCCCCGCGACGCACATTTACCCATGCGTTACGATGCCAAGTCAGTCTCGATTTGAAACTTTCCGTTTGTCACGAGTAAGTCCCCCTATTTAGGAGAAACAAAAGACTCATAAACAATATGTACGTAGTTCGTTCTGTTGTGTCAAAGACCAGGTATCCAAGTAATAGTTTCGTTCTGTCATGGCCGCCCAAAATAATGCTGATTTTACTGAGAAGAAATCGACGCATACACGTAGAAAGAAACATAAACATTAAACAAAGTGGGTTGATTTCATCCCGGATAGCCCCAAACATGTTTTTTTTCCTGGGGACTCCACAAACTAAGCAAGTTCATTACAAACAAAAAACAAAAGCACCAATTTACATTTAATTGCCATTTAAGTTACCAATTACAGCATAAAAATTACCATAAGTATTAAAAAGATCCTGAAAGTGCAGAAATTTGATTCATATAAATTTAGCGATGCTGTCAATTCCAGTTCCTTTGAATATAAGTACTATCAATTTAAGGTGCTTTATATTCTTATAAACCATTAGCTTTATTTTATGAAACTGCTTCCCTTCTGCAGATAGAAGTGTCTGTGATATATGTGATAAACTAGCCTAAGTTAAACTCTCTCTGTCTCTCTAAAAAGAGAATTATATGCAAGGAAAAAGCTCTTTTCATAATCAAATAAAAATCTGTAACTCTTTCAGGGGAATGGCAAGACTCTGAGCCCACACCCGATCAGAGTAGAGAACTGATGCCCTTTTGCTCAGGTTTTATGGCTAAAATGTTTGATAGATTCATAAGAGTAGTTTTCAATCAATTCTATTGACATTCCCGTTAACTTAATCTGCAGGGGAAAAGGTGATTAATTAGGAGAATATCTCTGCCTTTGCTAAACGCAGGAGTAAGAGCGCACTTCGTGAGTCACTTTGCATCTTTGACACAATGGCGCACAAAAATGTTGGAACGGTCTGAGTCAACCCCCCCCCAGGAAATCATTCCGCATTCCGACACACAATCTACGCCACTCACCAGGTGGACCACTATTTCGCCCGGGCGAAAAAAGTAATCAGCCCGGGCGAAATAGTAATCCGCCCGGGCAAAATACTAATCCACCCGGGCGAAGTAGCAGGCATGGTATTCTGTGTATTGTAACGCTTACGTTTCTACGTTACATTTCTACATTTTAGATTCCTATCGTTGGCGCTCGGTTTGTCTTTTTGGGGGGAACATTCGTTACTGGCGGTTGCAACATCTTGTTTGGGTAAGCAGTTGTATCTGTTAACGTTTTTACAGAATCGTTTTATGCAAAATGTAAAGGTTAACATTAATACTTGATAATACTTTGTATACACTCATTCTGTCTCAGTTAAAGGAAATTAATCGAAGGCCACCTTGGGTGTTTTCTGATTTCTTTAAAAGCAAAGTATCCAATCACA